TAGATACCTTCCTCTGCATAGCCACTACGATCCACTATTCCAAGGGCCGCCCGCGATCTGCAACAGACGAGCTCCGCAAGTGCCTTGGTCTTGGAGACCGCCAATCCCACGATGCTAGAGGGAAGCTCCACCTTCACCGGGGCATCGTTTAGCTCTTCTTCGGTCTCCAACAAAGGACAGGGTTTGTTCTTGGGAGGCTTGTTCAACAAAATTAAGTTAGAATCCATGATTTGTTGTGCTCATTGGATGGGTGATGGATCAACACCGACAAACTGCCAAAATACATGCTCCAAACAATACGTTTCAGACCAGCTTGCCTGATCCAGAACCTCTACATCGATCAGATCAGCTGATGAATGCAAAAAGAATGATGTGTGTGTATATATATATATTATATAAATAGTTTTCTATCAGAGTTGCTTCGGGCCCTTTTGGGCCCTTTTGCAGCGTCCTGACTCGGCGAGTCCTTCGGCCTCCAAGATCTCTTTCCCGTCCTTCTTGGTCTCCAGGATCAAGAGCAGGTCGCCCGGCTTCAACTGGCGAGGTTTGGATTCAGGCGATTCCTTCCGACGTCTAAAGCTGAAGTGTCAACGGGTCAGGGCGCATGGCCCAAGACCCCAGATCAAATGCCAAAGCATCCCAAACCCTGAACTCAGGTCTGGCATGTATTGAACATCAACTCTATTAGCTTGGATGCCATCGCTACTAATTACTAGGTCGGTTCGGAGGGCATCGCTCGTAGGTTGGAGGCCATTGCTATTTCTACCTGACTGGCTCCATGGAATCCACACTGGCCAGTGGCCTTTTTTGCGCCAGCGGCGACACCGCCGTGCAGCGCGTGGCCGTTCGTCGCGTCGGGCGCCTCTGCCAGGAGTTCCCCTTGCTGGTTCTCGAGGCGTCCGGCCACGGCGCACTTCGCACAGCGACGCACCAGGGCTTTGAAGGACACCAGGGACACCAGGCCCTGGCGCTACAAAGATCTATGTCGTTATTTTTCTGTTGTTTTGCAGGGGACGAAGTCGGAGAAAATAAATTGAACGGTTGAAATAGGTTGGAACCTAAAAGAAAGCCATCCGAAAGACGGTTACAGGCTAGCGCAACCAGCAGCCGGCCTCGTGACCAATCCTCGTGTGGAGACGACTGTCGTGTCAGGAGGGGCGACCGTCATTGAACACCCCTTGACACTTCGATTACATTTCCCATATGCCGCGACCTCCAGGGTGGTGTTGTGGCCAGTGGCCATTGCTGTTCTTCTAGCTAGGAGCAAGAAGCTACTAGGGGCTGCTGGCATCGCTACTAGGAGCAAGAAGCTACTATCTTCTTCGTTCGTTTGGCAGAACCCGCAGCCGGCATGACGAGTCAAGCGGAAGACGATGGGCGATCCACCGGCGATCTCGGTCAAAGCACAATGCGTCTCCTCTTTGACCCTCGTCTCCGGAAGAGCAAAATAAAAAGAGAGCGTCTCTCAAGGACCCACGGCAAGACCCACGACCAGTACTCTGGAAAAAAATAAACGAAAAACTCCGCAACATCTTCATCAACCTTTTTGCTGCACCTCACGGTCTTCCAGCCAGGCAGTCTTCTGCTCCTCTGACAAATCAGATCTGAACTGAATGGCAACTAGGCAACTACGATATGATGAGGTGCTTCATAGGCATTTCATACCATTTCATGGTTTCTTCTCACCATGACTTGCTAAAGGGTGCACGATGGTGCACAAATATATATATATATATCTTATAGCAGCACGTGCGACATGTCAATCTATGGGCAAGGTGTTCAGCCACGACCAGCGGCCCGACCCGTGTCGGCCACCGCTGTGTCGTATGAGTCGTCGCTTGAGCGATTCCGTCACTTCAAGGCGAGCGACCTGAAAAGCTCGACTGGTTCGCTTGAGCCAAACAGTCTGGGTGAGTCGATGTGACAAACATATAGAGGATTTATAGAATTTATAGAAATCTTAATGGATCTACGGGTTTTGTCATAATATCTACGTGTTTGATCTTGATTGATCTATATCAATGACCGTCACTTGTCCTGGGCCATGGCACCGGGTTTCAGAGAAGCAACATAGTCGATCAACTTCTCTGGTGCCTCGCCCGCTGTGACCAGCGGGCACGTCATGTGGTTACATGCTGCCAGTCCACAGCGGCTCGTTAAGACTCATAAGATCCTGTCCTTCTTAAGTTAGGGGAAAAAATGTTTGAAACACAAGAACGACTATTGTATACGGTATACAATTGTTATAATAGGGCGTTCCAGATCCAAGGTGTGGGGCATAGCGGCATACCCTTCACAAGGAACCCCTGGGAATCCTTTGGAGTCTTCAATTTCTTTACGACTTCGTGCAAACACGAACTGCTGACTCTGGAAGAGACACAAGTGTCTCCGACGAGAAAAAAGAATTGTCGACCAATTTCTCCGAAACCGACAAACAGCAACAATGTTTGTTATTAGAAACAATTGTTTCTAATAGCAAACATTGTTACTAGTGGTAAGGCACTTGTTACTAGTAGCGATGCACTTGTTACTACTAGCTTCTTGTTACTACTAGCAAACCAGTCAGTCTCCACTGTGTCCAGTCCTAGCAGCACTTGAGGTCCGAACCACTGTGTCCTTCCCAGAGGCGATGTCCTTGAAGAGCACCTCGTGGTTCCAGTCCTGTCGCTGCATCCGGACGGACCGATACCGACGCTACCCGAACTCTATAGAATCTGTCTTTGGTATTCAGCTAGGAGCTCCATGCCCAGCATGCTTCTGCTATGCTTCTGCTATGCTTCTGCTATTCTCTTGGATGTGGGGAAATCGTCCGGTTCGAACCATGGGTGCATATGAGGAACTTCCATGTGGTCGTGCTTTGCTGAGGCTTTTGTAGCGTGACCGGACTAGGACCTTACCTGTTTTGGCCAATGTGACGAGTCCAGGTGTGACCAGCGTGGCAGCCTGTTGGGTGGACGAGCTGGACACGAGCCACCCATTCATCTTCTCATTCAGAGCTCCGCAGAGCACCTGCCTTCTCCTTCATGTGGTCCAGAAGCGCTTCTACCATGACCTCTTCACACAGGACCTGCAACGAAGCGTGGCCTCTGATCACAGGATCGTTGGAGGAAGAAAAGACGTGATAAGAGGCTCGACAAGAGATGCAACAGTCTGACGTTTCCTCGATCTGGATTCCTCTCACTGCAAAGATAACTCAGAAGAGACTGGTAGGTTTGATCAGACACAATCTACTTCTGACCTGTTCTATTGGCGCCAAAGCTGGCTTGACTTTGTTCTGGCATTCACTGACCTCAGGTCGGATTGATCTGAAAATGAAACCACCAAAAGATCGGACTCGTTTGGATGACTCATCCGAGAACCAAATGCACCGAGAACCGAACGCACCGGTTTTTTGAAAAGAAAGCGAAGCTAAAAGAAAGCGAAGCTCCCAAGGCCGCGACCACCAAGTCCATCTCTTCCAGGTAGCTCTTCACCTGGAAGAGAAGCACGCATTTGGCGCAGTGGTTCAGGGCTCCGCAGGGCTCCGCGGGGCTCCCCCGCTGCGGCCGGGCGCTAGGTATGATGCATTGATGTTCATTGATTGTCCATGTCGCAATGATTGCACAAGGTGTTCTGATCAGTCAGATATGGCTAGGGGTCAAAACCGGGGAACCTTGGTTGACCACCCCAAAATGAACAGAATAGACGACAAGGGAGGTCAACCTACCAGGGATGAGGGCTCCCGCTTTTGACCCACAGCCCAAGAGATGTTACTGAAGCGGCAAAGACTTCATCGTCCAAAGAGTCCACTCCGCGGTCCTATCGGGATAGTCACTAGTCAGCAGAAAGAGGCAGAAGCGCCTCACCCAGAAGTCGGCTGGCGGTCACTTGTCGTTCCAAGTCCTGAACGCTCGCCGACGGCGCTCGGCCCAAGTGAGCGTGTCACGACGCCCCACGTCTGTGGGACACCAAGGACGATACATCCGCAGTACGTTAGTGGTGCATCCCACAGACCCCCTGCAAACTCAGCTCTCCCTTTGAGTGTATTTCACAAGTATTTTGGATGTCCCATGCAATGCCGTCCCATGAAGCGTCCCTCTCCTTCAGCTGGCGAGAAACCTTCGACTCCAACTTCGCTTCAGCCCGACGGAGTCGCGCCTCGACGGTCGACGGTCGCAGGTCGCAGGTCGACATCGTCGCTCCCACGATGCGTCGATCGCTCTCTTTGCCGCGCTTTTCGATGCAAACGGACAGAAGGTTGTCTCTTGCTGCATCCCTTGCTCCATAGGCTGGCTCCACCAGCTGAATGAGTCAAGAGCGTGAAGAAATCAGGCTTTTCCTGATGCCGAAGGTTTGAGGGCACGTTTGAGCCGGGAAATCAACATCTACACAGGGTTTAATAAAGTGCAGGGTTTGCCTGTTTGTCCAAACACCATCATGCCCGGCCAAAAAAAGCTTTTGTGACAATGATTGAAAAAACGGGGCAGTTTGTAACAAGTGCATGGCTGGTAACAAGGGCCCAAAATGCTGGTCTTCCAAACCTCTACAGCTGAAAGATCTGAAAGATCGGTATCTGGACACACAGAGCAGGCCCGAGCACTGCTACTCCCCCTAAGAGATCTAAGAGCGATGGTCTCCAACCTACTATGGCTCTTCTCGAATTGGCAACTTGCACTGCGCATGCTGACACGCCCTGGGGCCCTCGTAGCGGGTGTTCCGGGCATGCCTCTGCAAAACTGCGTCAAACCACAAAACCCCTTGTGGATTTTCTTCGTATCTGTCAGGATCCATTTCATAGGCTCACCATGCAGCGACAGCACTCCTTGATGCGAACTCGAGTGCTCGTAGCACTTTGCTTGCTCTCAGCTTTGCATGGAGAACCGAGCGCTTCCGCTCCCTCCTCGACCTCTGGAAAGCTTTCGAGACGCATCCGCTCCACGAAGCTTTCAAAGCTTAAGGAGTTCTGCTTCACAGCCATCAGAAACTGCATCAAGTCCTTGAAGTGGTCCCCTCCATCGCTCTCCCCCGTCCGGCGCGCTTCGGCGATTAAGCCTCGCCAGTCCTCGGGGAGGGTCGTGGCCGGCCGGGCGTGCACCGCTCCGCCCATCGTGTCCGTGCTCCACACGGTCTCTTGGACCCCTTGAGACGGCGAAAACATGAGACGTCTCGTGGCATGAGACGAACAGGAATAGGCAGTCGGTTTTTCATGAGACGCACATATGTTGATATGCACATCTGATTCAGAGATGTGGATGTATGTTGATTTCTCCTTTTTGTTGAGTCCTTTTGGTCACATCCAAGGTTACATCATTTGCATGAAATTCGCCTGAAGTTCCTTGGACGCCTTGATCTTTCGTGCTTCCTGGGCCTCAGCACGCACGGCTCAGCCCGGCGACGTCGCGCCAGCTCCTGCGCGGGCGAGCGAAGCTGAGGGCCCGACCAGAGCCTCTGCCGCAGAGACCTGATCCGGTCGTCGAGCGCCGAATGTGACCATCGAGACACCCAGACGCCCGTGGAGGGGTCGGAGCCTCAGTCCTGAGATGTCCTGAGGGGTCTGGGGGCTGTTTGGAGCGCATATGAAGAACGTGTGCTTTGGTCGATTTGGTTGGTCGTGCCGTGGCAATTTTGGAAGTGACCCAAATTAAATGGATTGAACTGTATCGGCTTCTTCGACTTGATAGAGATGGCGAAGAAGTGTAGGTCAGAGCCAAGGGAAACGCTTACCTTGGACGCGTTCGGACGAGTGGCATTCACAGATCCATCCGCGGACCCGATCGACTTCACGGATCGGATCGCTCCTTGGGAGGTAAGCCGTCTCTCAAACCGAGCCAAGTCACCCCGTACATCGGTGCCGCTGGTCACCAAACCGTCTGTCAGGATGCCTAATCCTTGCTCCCTGCCCCGTGCCTTCTGTCTCTGCTGCGCACAGGAGCTCAGCAACTCTGCATGGCTCTTCTCCTGCTCGGCCTCCTCAAAGACCACATTGGGTGAATGAGTGAAAGCCTCATCCACTTTCACAACTTGCTAAAACCAAACTCATAACGAAGTTTTCACAACCACTCGTTTTCGTCCCATCTCCCATTTAACATCCCAACTCCCAAGGCCCATCTCGCCTTCACCAACGAATCCACCGCCTCCGTGAAGACACCGCGAACGAGTCCGCCGTACCAAACACGGGAAACCGTGGAGGCCATGGGGGGTCCCAAAAGCGCAAAGAAGGACACTGGCAAGCTGGGTAGCTGACCAAGTGTACCTGGGAATGCAACTGAATGGCCTCCAACCTACTAGCGGCCTCCAACAAACACTCTGAGCTTGTGGTTCATCTCCATAAGGATCCGCCCAGACCCGCCCAGACCCGATACCGATCCACCCGCCTTCTCCAATTCCGAGATCTTGGCTTCCTTGGATCCCACCAGGATGTGTTGTTCTGATTCAGAATTGCAGAAACAAACAGGGTCGCCAAAGGGAGGAATCAATCCAATATGGCCACACATATTTAGGCACTGATGCGCCTACTGATCGGCAACTACTTGGCACACAGAAATCCCACAGTTTCAGCCATCAACACTGGACAATAACCCAGCTTCTGATATTATACCATATTCTACGTGTCTTTTGAGGCAGAAGTATCAAACACACTGCCCCTAAAGCGGTGTAATATGGCATACATGTCAGTTGTTGTTGTTGTTGTTGTTGTTGGCTATTTGCACTTACACAAGTATCTATGAAACCCACAAGGAACCATCTAAGAAGAATAAAACGCAAATGGAACTGAGAACGAACCCTGCTCTTCTTCTCCTAGTGTTTTATGTTCACTGATCATGATGGACTAAAGGAAACAAATGAAGGACTCCTTCTCAGAGCAATTCCACGCCAAGTATCTGCAGCTTGTGACTGTGCAGCTTTCCGTCGAACCACGTTGGTCTGGAGAGTGGCAGAAACTGGATCATGGAATTCATGAGCGTTGAGCCTTCTAAATGATCCGCTGAAGTGCATGTCAAAAATGCAGGGCCTCCAACCGTCAAACATCCCAATCTCACATCAAAGGAGTCGAAGTCCGGCCTCCAACCTAGTAGTTTCTTGCTACGTTCGTAGGGTCCTTGTTCCTAGTAGTAACGTCAGGAGCTACGTTCGGTTCGCGTTCGAGTCGCGATGCCCGAAATGCTCCCAAACGGAGGACGCGCTTCACTCCTTTCGGATCTGCCTGTCGGAGCTCCACCAACCAACTCTGCAGTGGGGGCAGCAGCGCGTTCTTCGTGAGCAGCTGTTCCCTCGGGACACCCATCGCCTTGCAGGCCTCGGAGGTGAGGGTGTTTCCAAAACCGCAAACAGCGGACAGGGTGACCACTCGGCCTTCGGATTGACCGACACGGCCTTCGCAGCTCGGCCTTCGCTTCACGCGACCGACCCTCCGCTCTGGGTGGGTCGCACCAAGCTCTTTGCTGCGATGTAGGTCCTGGCTTCTTGCAATCCGGCCTGGCGCTCGACGACCCCGGTCACCGGCCGGTGTCCACTGGTGTCGTCCACCGGGTGGCCTTTCGTCCACCCGGGTGTCGTTCAATGTTTCGTGCCCCCAAATCCCACAAGATTGACGTCAATCGCAAGCTGAGAGAAAAGAGCCGGCTCTTTTCAGTAAAGAACTGAATTCTCTTTGGTTCATGTTTGTGAAGGCAAAGTTGATGTGTATGTGTATGTCGGTGAGGATGCTAATGTCAGTGAGATACTGCATTGTTAAAACAAGAACATAAAGCACTACAGGCCTTTTGCCAATAGACCTTTGGCTTTCTGAGGGTATTTATATGAACATACATCCCTGATCACTATATCACAATATGTATGGTCACCCCCAGATAGATGATGACAGGTAGAAACAAGATGGAACCCACGAACCCGAATGCAAACACGTTCCCTGGGACACTCTTGTAGGACGCTCCTCTGAGACACTCTTACGGGACACTCTTGTGGGACACTCATGCGGGACACTCTTGTGGGACACTCTATCTGGGACAGTCTTGTAGGACACACGCTTCGAGGCTGCAAAACGAGCGCGTCGTACGAGACTTCCTCCAAAAGTCACGCGTCAAGTCTCCAAAACGAGCGTTTCGTACGAGACTTCCTCCAAAAGTCACACGTCAAGTCTCCAAAACGAGCGTTTCGTGCGAGACTTCCTCAAAAAGTCACACGTCAAGTCTCCAAAACGAGCGTTTCGTGCGAGACTTCCTCAAAAAGTCACACGTCAAAAACTCACATGTCAAAGTCTGCAAAACGAGCGTTTCGTACGAGACTTCCTCCAAAAGTCAAGCGGAAACACCCATCGGAGCACACACATCACGCAGCCCTGCCAAGCAGTTTCGCGATTCCAGCCCCTCCAAACCACACCCGCTCACACGCCAAATCCCAATGCGACAGCGACATCCACCTCTACCGCAACTCACAACCTCACGATTCCCTGCGCCTGCCACGAATCTTTCCGCGTCCACACGTCTAACGCGCACAAAGTACTGCGCCTCTCCGTCACACCTCGCAACCTCACGATTCCCTGCGGCTGCCACGAAAATCGCACTTCCACACCTCAAAAGCCGCACAAAGTACTGCGCCTGCCACGAAAAGTGACAATGTCATCTCATGTGAGCTTCAACAAAATTTGCACCACACCACACGTTGACCCGTTCTGAGCACACTCCCATCCACCAAAATTGCCACTTCAGCTGAGACTTGTCACGAAAACAGAGCTTCGATGCCACACCCTGAAACGCAAATCCCAATGGCACGGCCACATCCAACACCCCAAAAACATGACTCTCCAAACGCTAGTCCCAATGGAACTGCGCAGCAAACTGCGGATCTCACAAAACGCTGCACCTGCGCAGTGAAATCCTCCAGCACACTTCAACATCTTACACACGATTCCTCGCTACTTCACACGAATCTGACACGTCACGTTTTCATCCGAAACCCCCTCCAAAAGCTTCCCCCAATGGCAGCGCCTTAGCGTCCTACTGCGGACGGTTGCGATCGGTTGCGGACGGTTGCGAACATAGAAACAACGGGTCGCGAACAAGGCTCTACCCCCAGACCCCCAGAGTTAAACGAGAACCCTTCGCTACGCATTCGGGAAAAACTTGAAAAACATGACTTTGGTCGATCTTCAGGAGACCACAATCCTAAAGCAACAAAAAAGCAGCAGAGATACATTGATCTCTCCCACCCTTTGCCCATTGCCCATTATGGGCACCCTTTTGGTGGACAAAAGCGTCCACTGGCGCCATCGGAACCCGAAGAACCTAGAATGCATCATCTGCTTCCATCATCACTCCCCATCTGCTTCCAACATGTTTGATCCAAAGAGCAGCTCAGAAAGTAAAACCAAACACCCAATTGGAAAAATACCCCAATCTCTTGGCCGCACAGCAACTGGAGTTGCTCTGTCCTCAAAGATGTTGGTCTGCAACAGCTACTCTTGGTCAGAAGGTTACTTTGATCTGATTCATCTCTTGGTAAACTGAGTTTACCACCATCAAATTCAGGACGTTCATTGCCTTCCTTCGTCTTCGTCTCTCTCTGTCGCACGATGTGATAGGTGTCCATCTCTGAACTCCACACGGCCGCCTCAATCTTCCTCGCGGCCTCCTCCATGCCATCCAAAGCCGCCGCGGCCTGCGGAGAGGTGACCGAGCGCGACGGTCTCCCGTCTTGGCCGATCGGTCTGATTGGATCGATCAGTTATAAGCATCCTGGTGTTTGTTCAACCATACCATGACGAAATACTCAAAAAAACATCAAAAACAAATCTTGGCCAAAAGACATTGTTGAAAGTTGAAACCCATAAACAGCACAGGATTAATCTGTGTTGTGAAGTTTGGCGAAAAGCAAAGCTTTGCTGAAAAAAGCAGGTGCTTGATTCACTCGTGATATGACAGCAGCACGATGCAGCATTGCAGGCTTTGTTGTTTTCAACAATAAAACTGGGCTGCTCACTCGCCGTTCACCAAATGGAAGTATGTCTTCCAGCCTCGGCATGTGGTAGCACCTCGAGGCCTTTCAAGAAGGGCATCTCCATTTCCTCAGCCTCTCCGGACTCACGCGGAGTGCGGCACAGCTGGTGAGTGCGTCGTCTTTCAACCTAGCGGACCTAGCAA